CATTTCTCGGACACGCTGGATAACAGTACTATTCAACTTACAGTTTCTCAGCCTTTCTTTTTTCATTTCAGGTTTGTTTTTTTCTTTTTTTCTTCTGATTTGTTTTACTTTCTGTTGCCTTCTTCCAATTTTTCTTACTATAATCTTTGGCAAGGCTTTCGGGAGCAAGCTTTGGCAGCAGAGGCGTGTAATGGAGGTATGACATGCAGCAGGGCTGTTAAAAAACACAGGCTGTTGTTGTCAAGATCTTGTCACATGAGAAAAATCTGAGGAATAAAAGGGCTGATGTCTTCTTCATGGTAGGAGTCTATCTCCCAGTAAATGCCACTGTCTGCTCAATAATTCAACATCTTTCTGGTCTCCATCAGCAGGAGAGAACCTCCACAGCCTTCCCATGCCCTGAAACTCACTCTGTCACAGCCTGAGCTGCCCCAGACTCATTGCCTGTCCACTTATTTATTTGAGAAAGAACCTGTTTTTTCAATTTTTCTCAAGCACATTTTCCCTCTTCTGCGTCACTTTTGTCAGGGCTTAGTCGAGTTCTGGTGAGGACATCTCTCTCTGGGGATTTGAGCTGTGTGCTGTAATTAAATTCTTGTCTCTTCTGTTGTGTTGTGAAAGCAGGACATATTAAATCTCCCGTTCTTATCTGTGCTGGGAATCCAGTCCTACTGGCAGACTTTCCTATAATCCAAGGGATGAAACCATAAAATCAGCTTTCTTTAAAGATCATGGATCTTGTAAGGTACCACTTCTAATATTTATCATTTTTGTGTGTTTAGAACAGATGCTTACCACGCAGACTGTTTTGGTGTGTTTTACTTTTCTTAGGAAATTCAGAGGCACTATAAACCAACAATATCTGGTTTCTTTGTCACCCCTAAGAATGAATGGGACAATACAGCTAGGATAGTGAGTCTGTGCAGTAAACTAGTAAGACGTGTACAGGCCAGAAATGAAAAATGACTGCTCACTCCAAGATGTATCTTCTCTGAGTATTTCTGCTTTTTCAAGAACTCACATTGTCTAAAGCCATTAACCATTTGCTTGATTGATGTTGTTTCTAGTGTGCCTTTTTCATTTCTAATATGCCTCTCTGAAAGCAAGTACTTCCTTTTAGAGATGCTTTCGGGTTTTTTGTTGTTGGTTTTTTTTGTTGTTTTTTATGAATTAGAGCATTTGTTTAAAAATAGTCTGTTTTTCACCAAAAATATAAGGGTAACAACAATAAATAAAATTAAATAAAAACAAACAAATAAACAAATAAATAAAAAGAATCTTCAAATTTGGAACTATTTAATGGAAATGTTACTGCATCACAGTGCACACTGGAATTCAGCCACTGGTCATGTTTCCCAGCCAGAGTCAATCTGCCAGGATATTCTATGCCTTTCAGTTTCCCCATGATATTATGCAGTATTAGCTGATCCCATTGTATACATAACTCTAATATAATAAACCCAGACAAAAGCGGAGAAGGAAACACTGAATGTTTACATACTATGGCAGGTAAGTTTTAAAATCATGCAGTTTACAGTTGTGATTATTAGTTCTGATGGTATGTTTTCACACCATCTCATTAATTCCTTTTTGTTGAATTAATTTTTACCAAAAACTTGCAGTAGGTACTCCATGTAAAGGAAACTTTTTTGCAAAGTTTTATTCTCACTCTTAATAGCAACATTTCTTTAGTTTGTTTTTTCATACAATGAAAGCTGCAAACCCAGTGTAATTTATGTAAGATGGGCATTGACAACATTTCTATGGGAAATACATGAGATCACAAGACTGATTCTGTCTTTCTGGTCCTTTGCAGCCAATCCAAACAGGATTTCTAGCTAGATACAGCTCTGCAGCTTCCTAGTGTCAAGGGACCCTTGAAATCTCTGGCTTAAGATGGTGAAATGAAATGAAAATGAAAGTGAAAATTAAAATGACTTTAAGTCAAGACCTGGTGTGCAGAATGACTGTAGTGGAATCTTCTAGCCTGTGGAACAGGAGAGACACAGCTCCTCCCACTAAATAAGTTGCTTTTTTCCCTCATTGTCCCATTCTTTGATTGAGCACAGCTACCAGCCAGCAATGCTTCAGAGCTGCTAGGTCTCCCAGAAATGTGTTATATTTTGTATTCTGCACAGTATCAGTTGCCGTCCATCAGAATAGATTTAGATTGGATGTCTATACATTATCCCCAATTGTTTAGGAGCTTCTTTCTGCATGGAATTTGCAGTGATGTGGGTAGTTTCCAACTATGCGAGTGAAAAGAGCTAAAATCTACAAATGGCATAACAGTAGACTGTGCTCCTTGAAATCCCTTTGAGAGTTACATTCTTTGTTCTGTCTGCATTGGATCTTTGCTTACTGGACCCTCTGCAAAGCCAAGATAAGCTTTTCCTTTTACTTTTTGCACCATGTCAGCACTGCAAATCCCATATATGATATATGTGCATCAGGCACCATCCAGGGGCAACAGCTCAGAGTGTAAGCAGGCAGCCTCCTTACACAAAATAAGCAGTATCCTCCACCCCTGAGACTCAGTGTACTCTTTCCATCACGTACTCACCCTTGCCAAGCCTGCGGCTCAAGATTTGCAAGTCTTTCTAGCACCTGGTTCCTCTTTGGATGTCAGCATTTGGAGATGTTGCTTGCTGGAATTGCCCGAGGTCTTTTCATGTCTAAATGATTTTTATTGTCAGCTCAACATAAGCATAAGCACATAAAGAAAAGGTGTATAGAGCTAAAATGCCATCCCCACAAAACCTTGAAGATTCATGAATTGTCACTCAGGTCTTTGATCCTAAGTTAAAGAAGTAAATGGTAGGAAAAACAACAGGACAGAATATATACAGTAATGTGAAATAGAACTGCTGATCACATATATTTGACATCAGGTCAGTGAAATGAAAAGATTTTATCTTCAGATTGTTTGCATCAGGCAAACAGTGTTACCAGCATCATCTGATCTGGCTATGCATTAATATTAAAGGACTTGATTTATATATTATTTTATTTATGTCAAAAACATGAATAGTTCCATCTTTGTGTAACAAACTGTGTGGCTTGTGGAGCTAGGCTAGGAATCACAACAGAGACCAGCCAGTGGCTGGAGAGAGCAAAGTAGTTCACCATTCAGAAAAGGAAATGCAATAGTAGTTCAAACCGTATGTCTTTGTGTTTTAGATAAAAGGTTTAACTGTTCCTCCAGTTATAATTAAGTTTCTTCTGGTTAAATCCAGGAACACAACTTTAAAACCTGTGCTTTTTACAGTCAGATTTACTGATGTTTTCAGAAAATTAATTTTATTAAAACTGTTTTAAATATATCAATATGTGGGTGGAAGTCTGAAATATGTTTACAAAACAGGGCTTATTAACTAGTATTTCTTTAATTAACCTTTATTCATCCTAAAAAAAAAAAGTAGTTTAAAATTTATCGTCTCTTTATTCCAACATGCACATTTATCTGTAATGCTTTAACTACAAAATACAGTATCTTAACATCATGAGGTAAGACTGGCATCCATTCTTCCATGGTAGAATCTTGGGTAGATTTCTGTAATCACTAATACACACTTTTAGCTGTCTTTACTCCTGAGTCAGTTCTTTCATAGGAAACCTAAGAGCACTGTTAACGTGTAAAAAGTACCTGTAAAGACTGAATAGAGAGGATACTCTCATTTGTACAAATACCTGGACTTCTTTTGTGCACAGTTTATTAACTGTGACATTAGTACAAACATTTTTCCTTTAAATCATACTCCTGTAGCAGTGATTGCAGGCAACATGTATGTTTACATTCATTTTTCAGCTTTCATTCTTGCTGGTGCTTTCAAATTCAGATAACATTTGGCCAAAGCAAGATTCATATTTTGGGACTCCAAAGAACCAGATCAACCCATTGTAAGAAGACTGTTGAGGATGTGGATGAGTAAATGATGACATTCCTTGTTCTTGATATTTTCTGGACTCAGGCTCAGCTAATGCATTACCAGAGCGCCCTCTCTTTTTTCAAAGAATATGTCTTCTGATAAGTACACATTCTGCCATAAGTGTTTCAGCTCAGTTCTGCTGTCCACTTAGACTTATAGGACTCAAAGTTGCAAGTTAAGAAATCATCACATTTCAAATCAAGACTTCCAGTGCTAATGAATTGATGTTAGAATTTTTTGTGAAAATCTTTAATCCACTCAAGTAGCTTATGGAGAAAATGCCTTTTTTCAGTACTTCCCTGAGAAGTTTACTGTTATTCTCAAGGGGATCTCCAGCCAGCACACAATGCTTACTTTTCCCCTTGCATTCCACGCTTCTTGTTCTGCAATAGTATGCAAAGCTGCGTTTCCCGAATAACTTTAATGTAACTTAATCATGTGTCGTCACAGAGTGTGAGAGCTGTTCCACTGTCCTCTAAAGCCTAGGCTACCTACCTGCAGCTTTCACACCTTGCTAGCACCAGTCTCTGTGCTAGAGATCACTGAAATGATTCAGAAATTGACCAGCTAAACCTAACTGGCAAAAAACTGGATTAGTTTCCTGCTTCTCTGATTTAAGTCACACCAAGGTAATGCAAATGCCCAAGACTGAGCAAGTAGGTGTGGGCAGCTGCACAGTCTTGGAATGGACAGAAGTGTTCAAGTAATCGGGATGTCCAAAAGATAATTATTTGAACACATTAAAAATAATTACTGTTTCTTTTTAAATCACTTTCAGAATGAAATAATTTAAATAGTTTCATGAGATTCATTGTTATTTTCAGGTACAGATCTGTTGTTTGTCAAGCATCCTTTGGCTTCGTATTTGATACTGAAACATCTTACAACAGACAATTTCAGAAATATTTGTGAGAGAGATAAAGGAGGGAGAGAAGGAGAGAGAGGGGGAAGTATAACTAGACGGAAAGGTTAAAAAAAATCTTCCTTTTCCAATTTTAATGTTTTCAGCACTTTGCTATTGCAAATTACTGTTCACCAAAATGTCTCACATGAGCTCATCTTTCTCCTCAGATCGAATTGCACAGAATATCATTAAATCTCACTTGGAGACATGCCAATATACAATGGAGGAGCTACACCAGCTAGCATGGCAAACCCACACATATGAAGAAATTAAGGTTTACCAGAGCAAGGTACAATCCTGTAATATACTTGTTCTGCTCCCTGTGGTTTGAAATTGTTAACCCTGAATTATTTGACAAGGACAAGCTGGTTAAAGTATTCTTTTAAGTATCTTAGAGGACCCTGGTCACTGAAAACAAGGGAGTGATATTTCATAACAAGAAGAAATAGCTTTTCAGTATGTTGGGATATTTGTTAATGTCAAAACTCAGACATGGTCATAGAATCCAGTTTCTACACATTGCTTGTTACCACAGATATAAACCTTATACTGAAATTCTGTTGATTTTACTGTGATGAGAATTGTTCTTCTCTGTTTTTAGGCTTTTCAAAAAATTATAATAAAAAAAACCCTTTGTTACTTTTTCATTTGGAAAGCTGTTAGAAGCACATTCCTTTTCTATGTGAGTAACAGATTTTTTCACTGTGAGCAAGCCAAATATCACCCATAAACAGTAAATGATAAATTTAAAGTACTCCTTAAAGTGAGGTTTTTCAAAAGTGGCTGGAAAAATGGACTCAACACAACGAATTTTTGTTCTACCTTTGTAATTCTCAGGTCACATTCAGAATATTTCTTATTGACACCTCTTCAGATGTAGCCCAGTCAACAGAAATCAAGATGTGCTCTTGCACTCCTGTGCCTCCATCACTAGCATTGATTCTACAGTCAGATATCTGTTGAGAGATTATCTGATCATGCAAGAGACTGAAGAGACTCCTGCTTGTTCCTACTTAGCTAGGAAAGCTAAGTACAAGCAGAAGTGAAAACATACTGCAGCTTGCAGAGTTACTGCAGCTGATCCAAGGCTCCAGTTTGCATTTGCACACCTGCATGCTCGAAGAAAATAGTTATCAATGAGATCAAAATTTCCTGTAGTCATTATTCAGACAGTAATTATACTTCAATTATTTTTTAAAGTTTCAAACAAGTAAAAGTATTCTGTTAGATGATTCAGTAACGCTGTGCCATTTTCTCCCTAGGAGTGCACTGAGTTGTTTACATTGCTAGTTCTGCTGTCTCTCTCTCTCATGCGCAAAAGTCAACACTAAAATCACATTTTAACACTGGTTGCATTCTCCCCCTTTGAAGAGATAGTGTCACAGTTTGGACCACTGAGGCAATCAACCTGTGAAAACAGCCTTCTCATGAAAGTTGTCAGGCATCTTGAAAAGCAGAGATGCCACTGGTTAAGACATGGTGGGAGGTGAGGGAGTGAGTTAGTCAGGGGACTGTGCCTTCCTGCAAGGCTACCTGAAGTTCTTAGCACATGGATGAACTCACTCACTTATTCTTTTGTTCTTCCCTCTTGTTTTCCCGGAAGACCAGAGAAGCCCTTTGGCAGCAGTGTGCCATTCAGATCACTCATGCTATCCAGTATGTGGTGGAGTTTGCAAAGCGGATAACAGGCTTCATGGAGCTCTGCCAGAATGACCAAATTCTCCTCCTTAAGTCAGGTGCGTAAACACCAAATGCTTGAGACTGGTTTAGCTCCCAGTGCAGTAGAAACGTGCTCAGCTGTCCCGTTCTTTGGGTCATTTTTGTTTTGACAGAACCTTACTTTTCAGTCTGTTTCATTAGCTGCGTTAACCCTTCCGTAGTTTTCCCCATTAATCATGTTACTGTTTTCTGATCCCCTTCTCTCCACAGTCACTTGTGGTTATTAAATATACACACACAGAGAGTCATTGCAGCAACTGTAGTCCCCAACCTGACATGTAGTGGAAAGACTCTGTGAATTGAGCAGGCCGAATCAGTCATCTGCCACCCTCTAAATCCCCACTTGTCATTAGTGAATGCTTCTGTGGTCATCTCTAATCTTTTTAATGAGACTACAGAGATACCCTCCAGCCAGTGCACAGGAGGGAAAATCCATGCTGGCGCCAGTTAGTTTTGGACTAAATGAGAGCGGATTACAGCAGCGTGCTGCAGCCATGCTCTCTGTGCGTGCCTGGGTGTGCATGTGTATGTTTAAGGGCAAGGTGGAAAAGGATTTCCTTCCCTGACATAGGATGTGGTAATTTCTGTCCTCCATAGGAAGCATGACAAGATTTATTGTGACTATGCATTAACTCTGCTAAACTCAGTAGGACTAAATGGCTTCACCAAGTGAGCCACTGCTGGTAATTAACTGCATTCACCCTGTCATATCAGTTTCTCTCTCTCTCCATGTGTAAAAGGTGTGACGCAGTGTGAGGTGACTCGTTAAAACATAAGAAGTACTTCCTGTTTCGAGAGGAAACTGTTCATTTCATTTGAAAGCTGTTGCGTTCCTTGCTCTGTACACAGTGGTCTGTGGCTTAGAGTGGGACTGAATTGAGGCAGCAGAGCTGCAAATGGCAAAGGATGTGGAAACCTGAGGAGTATATAGGCAGAGAGTCACAGGATAACATTTTATTTTATTTTACTATCTTTAAGACTTCTGAAAATGCTGATGCATCCCATATAACTTCCTTCGATTAGCAAAAGTAGCAACACAGTTGCTCCTTAAACAAAAAATATAAATGTATTTGACTGTGCTATTGGACAACTCTGTTTAGCTGCAGCATGTATAAATATTTTTGGTTCTATTTTCTGTTTTGCAGCTAATGCTCAGCAAAAGAGGTTAGAAAATCTGGACTTTTCATTCAGAAACGTATCTGCAAAAGAAATCTCAAATTCAGAGTTTCTCTTTCAGAAAATTCAGATTTAGTTAGAGATTGCTTTAAATTATTTTTTCTTCATTTTCCCAAAACAGGAAATTCTGTAAATTCTGTAGGAAGAATAAAGAAAAAAATAAAAAATAAAAAATAATTTAATTTAATTAAAAAAAAAAAAAAACAACAACTGTTCCGTTGGATCTTCCTCAACCTCGAAGAAAAATAAGGGAAACAAAAGTTTGCAGAATAAAGTATTTTAAATTAACATTATATGCCCAGGTCGAAATTCAGATTAAGTCCGCTGCACTGAAGAAAATAAGCCTAAGGATTAGTTAGTCTGTCTCGACAAAAAAAAATACCCATTTTCTCTACTTAAATCAAAGAAATGTATTGTTTCCCATATTCAGTGAGAGATCCTCTTGATGGCTCCAGAAAGCCTGGGCCTGTAATAATGTGTGGCACTTCTGCTCTTTTTTCTCTCCTGTAGGCTGCTTGGAAGTGGTTTTGGTGAGAATGTGCCGTGCCTTCAACCCACTCAACAATACTGTTCTGTTTGAAGGAAAGTATGGAGGGATGCAGATGTTCAAAGCCTTGGGTATGTTGGTCTTTTTCTTTTCAATCCTTTCTATAAATGTTGGTCCAAATAATGTCAGATTATCCTTCTGTTAAAATATATCCTTCTGCTTAAATGCACTGATGTGCATTTAAAACCCTCAATAAATATTGAAACCAAAACCTCCGATTCTCTGAACTGGAAATGGAAAAGTGGCTCCAGTGGCTGCCCGTAATAGTAGGTGTTTTTCTCTAAAGAAAAAGAGCACTATGAGGATCTTATCAGGTTTTTTATTCTGCCACCTACAGCTTTGATTAGAACACAGGTTATGGTAGAAGCTAAGTAGTTTATCACCACAGGTCAATTATACTTGACATATCAAATTAGTCCCACTAATTATGTCCTGCAAAAAGCCATTTCATTCCAGCAAAGAGGGGACTAAAATGATGAACTATGACAAAATATATGAAGGAACTTAGTAAATATGCTGTTTATACTAAAACTTTTAAGCTCATTTAGATTTGTGTGTTGAAATAATAGCTTCATTTCTGAACATGATATAAAGTGCTATCTGAAATGCCAATGCCTAAATGGGTGTGTTTTGGCAATCCATGGGAGCAGTACATTATTGGCAAATATAGCATGATGTAAGCAGAATCAAATTCAAGGACAGTAATTTACTGCAAAAATTTACCATACAGATATATTTTTTTCTTGAATAAGAAAAAACATTACACTACCTTGCATGAATAAGAAGTGTTCTTGTTTATTATTTGATGTATTTTGGTCCTTTTCGAATATTTTATAGAATATGTATACTGTTAATTAATAAATTTTATATGTGAAAGTGAATTAGGACTGGTTATTCTTTCTTCTTAGTTTTAATACTTATTTATAAATAACATTTCATATTGGGAAAAAAGAACCCCATTCTAAATCTCTGTGTGCTTTTTGTACAAGTCATGCCCGTAATTCTTAATAATTTTTGTGTTCCATTGTGATTTAGTGATTTAGAAATAGTTGATCTTTACAGCAAGTGGAATTTTAATAGCTGATAGACACATGTTTTAAGAATACATACATTTACTCATTTGTTCTTTTTTTTTTTTTTTTTTTTACTTTGTTCTCTGTGGTCCTTAGGTTCTGATGATCTGGTGAATGAAGCATTTGACTTTGCTAAGAATTTATGTTCCTTACAGCTGACTGAGGAGGAGATTGCCTTGTTTTCATCTGCTGTTCTGATATCACCAGGTATTTGTTCCAATCTACCTACTTAAATAGTGGCTTACACTGGAATAAGCAATGTACATATGTATTAAGAAGTGTGATAAGCAATGGAAGAATACCTTTATACAAAAAAGAGTTTTCAGCTCTTTTTGTTAGAATTTCAGCAGTTACATATATTAGAAATAGATCCAAAGTGTGGTGATCCTGTCACATAAGTTTACAGATAGGCAAAATATGTAACATGCCAGTTATATATTAAAAAACAATAATAATATTGTCTACCTGAATTGTCTACCTGAACTTAACCTACAGGCATGTTATGCTTCAGTCAAGGACCATCTCCTTAGCCTCTGTACACTATTTCATGGTGCAAGAGAAAGACAGATTGGAAAATGAGAGAGAAATAAGTGCTGAGAGTGAGGGTAATAGGCATGGAACAAGTTCATGCAGGCAAGCGGTGCCTGCTGGCATTGCTTCAAAACACAGAGAAAATATGTCAAGGTGATGCATGTTCCTGCTTGGATCCTCAGTGAGCTAAAACCTCAGAGCCCTGAGTGGGTTAGGGAGTCTTCAGCTATGAATGAATTCTTCTGTGTCAATAAAAACATGAGCAGTAAAAATCTCCATGAAGCTCTGTCTGAATTTAACTCCATTTAAGAGGTAGTAATTTCAGGGTCAAAATGTTCTTCTTCAAGTATTCACATACCACAGCTCCACATAAGCAACCTTAGAGTTTAGTATGAGATTTTAAACTTGACTCAGGGGAGGTAGGCCTCCACCTCCCACTAAGAGTAACCTTTTGAAAGGTCTTTACAAAAATTTCCACCATTAATTATTTTTCCAGTCTGTTCTGCTAAAGACTTCCTCTAGGTCACTTTGCCCTCTCATACATCTGTGGAGGAGATTACATTAGGCAGAATTAGATTAGCACAGATGGTGTCCATGTTTGTTCTCATCATTAATGACACCTCCAGAAAGAACTCTACTCCTAATTTCCCTCTGAAGTGTTCTTGTGGTCACTTGCTTGGAGGTGAAATGGTCAAGCCAGTGCCCACATATAGCATGAGATCGAGTTGCTCCAGAGAGAACCCTCCAGAGTGCTTCTCGCAGTACCCTGACAGGTCCCTCTCAACCAGCCCTTTTCTCCACAGAAAAGACCAAATCATAATGGAAATGTACAGCATCTGTACACATTTGGCATTAGTGACCTGTCAACAGACTGACTCCATGCAAAGCTAAAGACAACTTGGGAATTCTGGGGCAATCTAGACTGTGAAGTTCTTGAGCGACATGCTAAGAACCAACCAACAGAAAATGAAAAGAATGATAGAATCCTTACAAGCAAGATTTATGTTTTTTTTTAACATCTAGGTGTTTTCTGTAGAGACAGAAGCAGTAAAATGGTTTCAGTGCTGGCTTATATGCACTTTATTTCAGATTAAAGCATCTCATCTGTAGGGAGAAAAAAAATATTCAGATATGTGATTTCTAGCCAAACTAAAAAGAAGTAATATTTCTGTCACCCAGGTAATCTAGGCAACAAAAACAAATTATAGCCCAACTTAACAAAATCTGGTCACAGAAATATTCCATCATCTCTGAGTGTCCTATACCTCAGACCTGGACAGAGCCTATTTAAGTAATGAGAAGTTTCCTATTGATTTTAATGGATTGCTTTAATAGATTTTTGATCAAGTCATTAATGAAATGCTCTTAGCTACAGGTAGACAATTGATGGAAATTAAAGTTCTGAGCTTCGCAGTTCTTCATATGTCTTTCAGCAAAGCGACAAAATCTCTCACACATCTGCAGCTGTACTGTGCTTGAAAAAGCTAGAAACTCAGCACTGGCTTTGAGCCAGCTGTATTGCAAGCATGTGTTGTAAAACCTTCTCCACTAACTCTAGTAATACGTTTCAGTCATGAAATACATCAGCCATGATGCAGCACTTCAAAGCTGGGTGTCTCTTGAATAGCAAACTCTGCTAAGATATACAGAAGTAATTCCAAGTTTTTTCACCATTATTTAGCTTGAAAGTTAAAGCTGGTGATACTAGAGGAAATACTTCATTGTCCAGTGCCTTTCTTTCATGTCCAAGTTGTTTCTTTCCTTCTTGCTAGCAAGAGGACACTCTGAATATCTCTTACTCCTTTGGCCAAAAACCAAATGTGAAAGTGTTTAATGTGTGCTGAGTGCTTCTTCCTATAGTCTGCAAGCATGAGTATCTTTAGACAAGGGAGAAGCAATAATACAGGATGGGCTGAAGAATCATAACCTTGAAATAAGGCACCCTATCTTCCATTAAAAAACTGCCGATTTGTGTCATGCAAATAAACCCCATCTCAGCTGGGCTAAGTCTGTGAATGGCAAGGGAAGGCAGTGCAAATTGTAATGACATTAAAAGCTGCCATTTATTTCCTTTCAAAAATAATAATAAAAAATTAATAGAGAAATAATCAGTTTTGCTCTGCACTAGATATTCTGGTTTCTTCACAGTAAAGTGTTTCATCTTGTGAACATGCATAAACATGAAAAAAGGAAATAATAAACTGCATCTGTTCTTCCACTCACTAATTTAGGGACATAGCCGCTCTCTTTGGGAAGTACTCGTATTCATGCTTTTCTTCTACAGAAACCACTGCACTGAAAGGTGATTATTGTGCTCTTAATCTCAGCATTTACAGGGAACAGAGCAATATCAGCAGGAGTGGGCTGACCTAAGAACATCTGTTAACACTACAGTTTAGGTTCTGAAACCAAGCTTGAGGCCCATTTTCCATCTGAATAAAAGCACAAATCCAGATTTTGTAAATTAAGGTTATCAGAGGTGATTCTTTCACTTGATTTCTGATTCTAAGCTTAAAGATGTAGAATGCCTCTTCACTTGCATGGAAATGGGTGGTAAGACATTAACCTTGCTTTTCTGAAAATCTTGCTGAACACCTTTCCTTACATCTTTCACCCTTTTCTACACTCTTTTCTTGCCTAGTGGGCTAGTGCACTCTTTCAAGACAGTAGAGTCAAAACCTAAAGGAAAATCATAGAGCTGAAACAGTTTTCAAATCCTGTATGGGTAGCCACTGATCTACTGACTTTTTCCTGCACTTATGTGAATATAATTAGGGGTATGTGCAAAGTCCAAACAAATTTGCAGATGGTGATCAAGTGGTAGGAACTACATTCTGGGAGACAGACAATATTCATAGTAAAAGTTTCACCTAGCCCACGCTGTGATTTCAAGAACTCTTGCATTATATACAGCATACTCCATGACAGGCAAGTGATGAAACCCGTGCTCCCACAGCCTCAGTCTATTTTTATGCTCATCTTTGTGGCAGAAAGATAAATCTTTAAGGACTGCTCTCTGTGATAAATCTTTCTAGCTTCAGCCTGACACCTATTAGGTGTTGATTTAATACTACTGAAAGGCATGTTTTTCAAGAACATAAAATGTGACACTTAGCCTGTGAAGCCTAAATATTATTGTGAGCTTATTTGTGTCAATACTGTGTGCACTCAGCTAATTCTGTTTCTGTGGCCACTGTCAATATAGGATCCATTAGTTTACCTTCCAAGATCATGATTCTTTAAGCTATGCAAAAATATTGTTTTCTTTGTCTGATAACCTGCTAAGTCTCTAGAGGCTTGGGTTAATCTCTTTTCAGAGAAATTGTTGATTGACATTTTCCATAGAGACATCTCTGCAGTCAGACAAATGGCAGAATCCTGATTCTTCAGCGCTGAAATACTCTTTAGTCTCTCAGCTTAAATTATTTCAATGGATCATGTTAGTAACTCGGGGAGGTAGGGAAAAGAGCACTGGAAATGAAAAGGATTTTCCCACACCTTTCAATGTGTACATTAAGATTCAAGCCCTGTGGCAAAACATAATTTCGTATTTCCTTTTGCAAAGCCAAAATCTATGTCCAAGAATCAGTCTGACTGTGAGAAATATGTGAGAAACAGGGAAATAAGTTTGCAGAATAGGAACACAGACAGTTTGGCAGTGCTATAAACACTATTATGTTTCAGAGATTGTCTTGGGGTCCGCTTCTATGCTTCATGTATGATTGTTTCCAGAAGCTGTGACTTGAGAGAATATCTTATGAAAGACCTCCTACACTTGGGGTTTGAGCTCAGTATAAATCCAGACAACTGTATCTATAATTGTTAATTCTCCCAGATTAGCTTCTCCTTTGTGTTGTTTAAAAAGAGAACATTTTTAAATAACAAGAAATTTGCACTTCAAGACATTGCAACAGCTCATAATTCTTTTGAATTATTAAAGAAATTCTTTTGAAGAAAGCCTTTTTTTTTTTAATACAGAATATAATAATATATGGTCTTAAAATGTTAGCCTAGTAAATAATGAGATATATTTTGTTTTAATTTTTCAATCACTATATTCTATTGTTTTCAAAGAGATGACTGTTTTGATCAATATGCTCATTATTTACGTATTAAGACACTAAAATGATATATGCTTTTTACCTAGGCAATATGAATTTAGAGCAGTGAATGTACCAGCAAAATATAATGAAATGCTTGGACCTTGTTTCATTTCTACTCCCATCTTTCTCTAACGTACTGATTTAAACAGAAATACAGGGCAAATATTTTGTTGTTGTATGTTCAGTATCTTAATTAAACTCTCAGCTGATCCTTTAATGGATTAAAATACTTTGCTTCTGAAACCATCTTTTCATTATGAGTCCCTTCCCGACGGGAATTACATTTGCTGTAAACACTTGTTAGCATACCAAGTTCATCCATGAGCATACCCCACACCTGTCCTTAGCTCTTGCCTTCCTTTTTCTTAGATCGAGCCTGGTTAATAGAGCCAAGGAAGGTCCAGAAGCTTCAGGAAAAGATTTACTTTGCACTTCAACATGTGATCCAGAAGAACCACCTCGATGATGAGACTTTGACAAAGGTAAATTGTTAAAAAAGGGCTAACCTAAGCCTTCCTCAGACATGTATATTTTTCTAGCCACTTCTCCACTACTACATTAATTTAAGTTAAAAGCATCATACCACTTGCTCCCACTGTATAGAAGTAAGCATTTTTGTATTCTTCTCCTCGCTCTTCTTTCCTCTTAAATCATCTTTTGTTCAATCCATTAATCATCTTATGTGGTACCTTAGCAAGAATCAGACTATTTTAATGAGAGCCCCTAGAGGCAAAGCGGTTTTGGCACTTGGCTAAAATTTTCAGTGGAATGGTTTTTTAGACCATAACAGTAAGAACAGTGGACTTATCCAATGGCAGCATGGATAGATTTGATGGAGTTTGGGGTATTACAGTTTCCCAACAAGATGCTACCTTAATTAATTCTGGAATCAGTGACTTATACTAAATTTGTTTCCTCTCTCTTCTTTTATATCTCACAGTTAATAGCCAAGATACCAACCATTACTGCACTTTGCAACTTGCACGGAGAGAAACTACAGGTATTTAAACAGTCTCACCCAGATATAGTGAACACACTATTTCCTCCATTATACAAGGAGCTTTTCAATCCAGACTCAACCACTGGCTGCAAGTGAAGGGGATAATGAAATTTTCACGTAGTCATGGAATGCATCACTGTTAAGACAAAATGAAATGTTTTCATAATGAACTTATTAAAAATGTCACTACTGCAACACTAGGAATGTTCTGCACTTAATAGAATTATTTTTCACCGCTACAGTTTGAAGAATGTAAATATGCAATTCTGAGTGGGGATGTCTTTTTTCTCTTTTCTTTGTTTACCTTTTTTTTTTTTTTCTTTTTGAACTGACAATGAATATACAAATATAGGACACTGGGTGTTACCTTTTTTTTTTTTTAATTTTATTTTATTGGGATATGTTTTGGGAGACAACTGTTCATAGAATTTTATTGTAGATATAAATGAGAATAGAGCAGTACTTTGCAGTATTACTCTTGCTGTTTATTGTTCAAATATAATTTAAGAAAATTCCACTTATTAGTCTTGCCTATTTCTATGTTTTTAGATAGTTTAATGCATGTGGAAATTTGTAGCTGTCTTGGAAATTATTGTGCATGTATGAAATACATATATATATATGTATACGTTGTGTATACTTATATATATATGTATGTACTATATGCATACATGCTGTAGCTTAAAAGTCCCATGCCTACTTTTAAAGGATGCTCAGCCAGGCTGTCATGCATTTCTTGCTCTCCAAGTAATATATTAGATCTACTTTGGGCAATCACAATTTGCTTTGCCAGTCAACAGCCAATGTGTAATGACAGGATCACTCCTGAAATGTGTAATGTAGTGCATATGTGCAGTCTGTAAATGAAACATCAGGAATATACCAATGATGCAAAAGCCTTGTCTGGATGATTTCAGTGGAGAGAGGAAAAGCTTTTTGTCAATATTCTCCCTGCAACAGGGGTACAGCATATGTAAGAGTGAACATTTTAGGACCTGTGTCAGTGAAGTATCTGAAACACAGAATAAAAACATAGACTGTCCCACCCACTTCTCTGATTACACAAAGATTTTATTTTATTATATGCTTATTTGAAAAATAGTTGCAAGACTTGGCTTGGTTTTTGGTATTTTGTTGGGTTTTGTTGTTGTTTTTTTTTCTTGTTTGTTGTTGTAGTTTTAAAGAAATATAGTGAACTCAGTGAAAACCTTAGGAAGCCTAAAATGTAGCTCTGAAAATTATCATCAGAGAAAGGGAGGGAGGAGGAAAGTTGAAGTGAACAATAGCCATGGTTATGAAGATGAACATAACACTATTACCAACAAAGCCATCACCTAAACAAGACTGATGGTTTCCATTCCATGTATATACATACATGTTAAATACACATATATATATACAAACATAGGGTTGATTTGATGCTCACTTCAGGAGGCAAGCAAACGATTGGAGCTTTCTTTTTGTCTGTCTCTAAGTTGATTTTACGTGCATTTGCCTGCAAAACCAAAGGTGAATACAGAGAGGAGTGGAAGACTGCCACGAGACACAATCTCGTAGATTAATTAAATTTAATTGCAGTCATGATTAATGCATTTGGATTCTGCCAGAGATTAAAAAAACATAAACTTTTTCCTGTGGAAGAGCAGGGATTCACTTCTTGCCATGTCTCTGTCCTTGTCATCATATCTATCTGTTGGGAGCTTTTCCAGAAAAGTGTCCTTAGAGAATGCTAGTGGAAGGAGTTGAGCAGAAATAAGTAGAAAAGAAATGAAGCAGAGGCAGGGTCATGAGCAGTCCTTATTTCAAAGCTCATAGAAGGCAGTCTGAACTGAGAGCTGGTGAGAAGGAGTTGAAGGCCCCACTGCCAGGCCATAGGGCAGAGCTGTGTCACTGGGAACCCATGGGACACAGCTGGGCCCCAGAGTGGTTGCAGAAACTTGTGTCAGCGATAGTCTAATTCCTCTGTTTTTTCCAGAAGACCACATAGGTCCCATCTCATCCTCTATTCCTTTTTCTGCATCAACAGTTAATTCACACCCTATTTCAAGCACTGGGTAAAGTTTCCCCTCGACCACCACCAATCACCTTCTAAGTTTACACACACACCTCATGACTCCATAGCTATCTCTTCTCTTAGCAATCCTAAACTTGCTGCAAGAGCAGTTACAAACCCTTAGCTAATAAATGTTTCTCTGTTAATCTATTCTGAGTGCAAAATAGATACAAAAAGTGCAAAGCCATGTTAATTTTTCTGAGGTTTGTTGTAAAAATGATGCAATCTTCTAAATTTCTTAGTCCTAGAAAAAATCAATCTCTAAAATACTCTTTTTGCACCAAATTTCTATCACATACTCCAGTGATTTTATTAAAATGCTTTCAGTTAATGTAGTACAACACTGCTTCTGATGCTTCTTTAAACCACTTAAGCCATAAGATTGGCATCCTCTTGTAATCTGATTTTGTCTGTTTGCAGCCTGTTTTACATGACAAATCCATGAACAGGACTCCATATTCCACCTACTTCTAATATTTAAAATAATAATAATAATAAATAATTAACCAGTATTTATGCAAGGTCAATTTGTATATATTTGGAAAAAAAAAATCAAGTCAAACTGAATCCTGTAACAGCTCAATTTTAACTGCAGAGGATTCATGTTTTCCTTGTCTTTTTCAATATGAGAACATATTTACATATATATATTACACACATATATATATGCTCATTTGAAATCCATTATAATAATAATCCATTATTTTCAGTACATTAAAAGTAACATATTTAGCCAATACACAGAATATAGAGTGTGATAAGTATTACTGTCATAAGGGTTGATAAATGAAGAAGTTTGCTATGCTTATAAACAATCCACATTTTTGTAATACATATTGAAAATGCCTTATTGTTTTCAAATAAGCCAATCAATCTTTAGCTTGTATTATGATTTACATCTTAGGCAAGATGACAAAATGAAGATCACCTGTGAAAAAGACATATTATTTAACCATTATTCATAGGGAGTTTCATCCTTAAAGCACTGTTCTGAAATCACTGCAATCTCATGATCTCTTCAATCAGTAAGGACTGTTCCCTTTTTTCAAAGATAAAGAAATGAAGGCAAAGAAGTTAAATGGCCAGAGACCACAGAACTAGTAGCATCCAGGCTGAGATTAAAAGTGGATTCTTTTCTTTTGTCCTAAAACCACTAGCAATGTCACATAACATTTTCTGTACAAACTGTACAATTACAAATATTGCCAAATTATTATCTTCAGATAATATTATCAATAGTTTGTTCATTTTTTTTTTATTTTTACAGAATTTGAGCAAGAAACTCATTTATTTTTGTAGCAAAAATTAATTCTCATACAGTATTTACTGGTGCTAATCAGTGCTGATAAAACTTATTTAATTTTCTTTGATTACAGTCTGGCCATGTAAGTAAATTAGTACTTCTTCCCTTTGTTCATTGTGCGTAGAACAAGAAATAGCAATGACATCCTACAGGCTGGATTTTTGTTGTCATTCTTAATACAGCCATTTGTATATGACATTTTAAATTCTCAATATCGGATTTTATACGTTCAAGTAATCCGCAGGCTTTAAACAATGAAACAGTACAAGTTCAATTAAGTAACTGCGTAGCCAATCACAAAATGCATTTCAGACAGTATTACTACTGTGTTTTATTTTCTTGGCATTCATTAATCTACAGTAGTATCTGAAGCCCTTCAATTAAACTTCTAGAACTAGGACTTGTCACATCTGCTGTTTAGTAACTGGCTAATATTTGTTGATTTTTTTAGTGATACATCTTTCAAATGGAACACAATTTTTTATGACTGATTGACCCCAGAAATTCAACAAAAAAAAATATTTAAAACATACATTAAATCTTCTAGCATTGCTGTCAGATAATTGGACCACATTGATCTAAATTATCCACAGCATCAAGCAGGCAGATGCAGACTATTTGTTACACTGCCACAGGGACTTAATTTTGGTGTAAATGTCACTCTTGCCAGCTCTTTGTATAAAGAATTCATTCCAAGAGTCATATTTTCTTCTAATGGGAAGATTTCTTTACTGATTGCTAGGGGAAAAAACAAAAAACAAAAAAAAACAAAAAAAACTGGATAATAGAAAGCAGTCAGCTGAACCAACTGGTTTTCAAAAACAACATATATTTTAAGACTGGCAGCATTTAGGAATTGATTCTGCATGTTGTCAGGCTCCCATAACTCTAACAGGCCACTGGAAATGGAGACATCTCACTACTTCACAGAAGGTGCTCAACCCCTCATGAAATCAGAGGCCTTTGGTGTTGCTAGGTCCCTTTAGGTGAGATGTCATCACTCTTATTTTTTAATACTTTTAGTTCATGCTTCCTGTTGTTCACTTCAGCTTCATTTCCCAAGGACCAGTTTATTTTCTGCTGTGCCCTGTGCACCATCACTGTCCCAACACCTGTGCAAGGTTAAGGAGCTCTGGTGGAGCAGCTACTGGGCTTGTCCAAGGCGATAATCTTTATTGTGTGACTTTCTTTGTTTCTTTCATGGCCATTGCTTGCACATATGTTCATTTCCCTTTGCGTTGCTGCGTTTTCCTTAGTGTTGCTGGGATTTCTGACCTAGCAACTGCTACACAAGGAGGGAGCAAAACTACTGCTATGAACCAGCCCGTCAGCCTCGCACCACAGGACTGTGGCAGCCCAGCAAGGCCACAGCAGTCTGCAAGGCAGTTGGGCAGCTTAACTAGAGTTACACAGCTGATGGCTTCTTTCCACACTGTCTTTTTCACCTCCTGTAAAGCTGTGCTACAAAGCACGGATCAGTCACATCCAAGATGCCCACATCTTTCTTACTTCTGACTTCTTATTGATTGTGCCCTTTCCAGAAGAACCAAGGTCTAGCCTGGAAGTTGGTTCCTTCTTTCAGTGCCATTGTCTATTAGACATCCCAGGAACATAGAACAGGGCAAAAATTAAATTATCAAATTAAAATAGAGCACAGGTTTTTTTAAGTACATGTGAAATGGAAACCTGGGAACAGCTTTCTTCTCCTGGCAGTAATAGAGTACCTACACCTACCATCCTATCCCAGCACTTTCTGCCTCTGCTCTGGAGACTAACTGCTATCTCTGACATCCATTAGAAACAGCATGTTGGAGACTCAGTCCTTTCTTTTTTATGTTTCACGCTTTGTAAATGACAATCACTGCTCGATGCAGATATTGCACTGTATGCCACTCAGGGATGTTTCATTATTAAAAATAGCTATATAAATATAATGGTGATGATAAGGAAGAGAATGCTAGAGGCTTTGAAGGGCACTGTTTGAGCTGCCCATTGAACATGACCCAGACAAGGCTTTCCAGCCAGCGATTAGAAGTAGCATTGGTATAAACTGAATTCGTTGACAGAATTTCCTCAGCTTGTTGCAGAACTCACCTCACCTGCTGTTTCAAAGTCAACCTCCAGTCAGTAGGTAAACCAGTCAGTTTATGATATGTCCTTTTTGAAACAAAATGTAACCAAGCTCTGTATAAGTTACTGAATTTAGACAATCAACAAGAGAAAGTGCAGTTTAAATGTACTGAGTTTAGGTACTACTAATGCGAGATCCTGTTCAGAATTGCTGCAGGCACGTAAGAGGAAAAGCTAAGAAGTGGAATAAATGGTTACGTCAGCAGGGATAGCAACAGTGTTGTTGAGCTACCACATGGAGAAATGCCTACAAAGAGCAAGCAGTGTAAAATGAAGTGGCTATGAGCTGCCCTTTTCTCTCAGGGAAACGTGAAACCACAGCTACACCCAGGCCTCTGTAGCAATGTTTCTCCATGGTCTCACCAGTCCTTTTCTCATCTCCAGCAAACGTGATCCATTTTTAGTGAAAAAAACTCGCATTTCCTACTAATATGAAATGTGAAATGCACTTCTGCTTATCACTAGTTTTACATTAAGTGTTTTCAATAGGCCTAACATTACAACAGCACATAACCTTCATTTGCAGTTCTTACAATCTTGCCAGTCATATACTTGACTCTGAGTCTCCAACCAATATGTTTTCCACACTTCTCATTATGGTTGTTGCCACTATTTTCACAGTGATTTTGTGTAAGTTTTGATTATTTCCGTCTTCTGAATTCCCAACATGTAGATGAGTGGACAACCTCATCAAAAGGTGGAAAGGAGAGGACCATATCCCTCAGAATAGAGGCATTCATAATAGTATTCTTCACCAATTGGCTCATTGTGATTTGAGTTTAATTTTCAGATTGCTGGAAACTATATGTAAATATCTGAAGTTCTTGCTAGCAGGATAACCACCCATTGAAAACCTTTTTTCTTTTTGCCCAGAGAACTTTATCACTCTTTCTCCTTTTAATTGTACTTCTTAATGAATGAGGCTTTGGGTGTTAACGTCTTTGCTTTTTCCCAAAGATGAAGTTCATGTGCAGTCTAAAAGGAAGGCTGCACCCAGGAGAAAGGAAGCAGGCTCATTCCTTCTCTTCACCCACCTCCACCTCCTCACTTAGCTGTGTTGTCCCTGCAAGTCAGACTGACTCTATTACAGTAAGCCCAACACCTCAATAACTTGCCATCCCAGAAAAGGTTTGCAGCAGAGCACTCAACTGAAAAAGCCACTTGTTTATGCAGTCTAAACTGCAGACAAAAGCTATTGAGAAAAATAATTTCTCCATTGATAACTCACAGGTCAGTAGCTCACTTAAAAAGGCAGCCCAAATGTTCGGTGGCATTGTGAATGTGCCAGCATCCTCTAAATAAATCCTTCCTTTTTGCGTGTTCTGATGGAAGAAAGCAATGCACAAAACACACTGGAAAAGGAGGGATATTTCCTGAGTGTTACTGCAGTTAGTGAGGGAAATACTGCTCACAAGGAGTTTGGAAACATAATGTACTACATTTGCTTATTTTGTTCATCGTCACAGTTCAAGCACAGCACATAGGGAGAGAAAGAAAACATCATTGGATATAGCAGCAATAAATAAATTATGTGTTTCTTTGTAACTGTACATGCAGAAAATGTTTGCTTTGCACGTGGTCTTCTGTAGAATAACATAAAGAAAAAACTTCATCTAATGTAGATATCACAGTGGTTTTTGCATATTTGTTGGACGCACTGGATGGAGCTGCTAATTTTTGATCAAAGATACCGCTGTTGGGAAAAAGGCATGTGCTCCAAGAATAGGCTGTGGCCCTTGTTTGTGGCGATACATTGGAAACAGTAAAGTGTTTTCTATATAAAACTGTCTGGACAGAATGAAAAAATTGTCTCCTAGTTTTCAGTACTATGACCATGTTGGTCCCATATTATTTGACCAATGAAAAACCGATTGCATGAAAAAATAAGTGGGGCCACATGGGCAAACACAGAACAGGTTTTACCGTGAAGACTGTTTCAGATAAAACCAGCTTATTTAAAATAAAATAAAAAATAATAAAAAAAAAAAATTAAAAGCACTTATACTTGTCTTGATTAGACACACAGCTTAATAAGTCAGAGTTACTACATTAGGCTGTCAGCTTCTATGGGGATTCAGATTCAGATGCACTACAGTTGTGTTTTTATAACGTGTCACTTCAATGTCAGAATCAGGCAAAAAAAAAAAGTGTTTTGTCGTTAATCAGAAAATATAATAATACGTTACCTTACAAAGTGTGGACTACACATTCTCGTGCAGTAGACAGGGATTTTTTCATGCACTTATTCTTACGAAGCCACTGAGATCCTAGCAAACGAGCTAACTAGCCGCAGCAGTCTTTGCCTCTTGCACGACTGCAGTGTGACCTGTGGCAGGCTGCAGCGCGGCGCTGCGACTGTACTTGTGACCACGAGTAAAGCACAACAGAACTCTGAGTACGCTGTTATCAACACACCCAGCTAAATCGAACGCATGGGGTATTTTCAGACTTATGCTAATCGCTGTGAGATAATTCCCATGTTAAACTAATTACTCCGGCTGTAATGAATGGATGGTATAAATAAATTAAGAATCAGAATAGCAACGAAATCCCTTATTTCACAACTGCACTGTCTGCCTCATCTGATTAACACTACAGAAAGTTACTTAAAAACTAAACAAACAAAACAAGAAGAAAGAAACCTGAGTACGTATTGTAGAAATGTAGAAGACAAATAAAATATTTTTTCAAATGTAATTACTTTTAATATATGCTTGTGGAAGGTCTAATACTATGTATGCTGTCTCTGTAATTTTTGCTGTATATAACTGGGGACAGCGAATACACTGATTTTTTCTATGTCTCTGTTTAAGCATAAGACTTTGTAATGATTTTTTTTAAAGAGGAAAAACATCAAAGAGCAAATAATGTACTTGCTTCCTATAAGTGTATTGTACTCTTCAGTTTTTATGGAAACTGATTGTAATAGATAAAGCCTTTTGACCAGCTGTTGATGTTTAGTGTATACTTCTGTTTGTAATGGGGGGAAAAAAAAAAATGATGGGGCTGTCATTCAAACCTGCTCCCAGTGAGTCTGTACAGTGAGAATTGTATTAATACCTGCAGACTGCATTTGAGTAATATGATTTGAAGAAAGGTTGCTTAAGCTACTAATGTTTCCATACAATTTACGGCTTTTATGAATTCTTCTGGCATGGGTTATACTAGTAGAAACAATTTTTTCTTTCCAAGGAGCAAAATATTTTTGTATGCTTTTAATTGCTTATTAAAATCTGTGGTCGGGTCACTGATTAGCTGTAATCCGAAGCCATAACTGACCTTCACCAGATACCTGTTTTAAAGATCGTAATAGAGAAAGAAATTGTGTCCAGTTCATCAACAGCTATAAAAACACAGGCAGGAGCATAAATAACACAAAAACTGTTTGGATGCTTTTCCTGCATCCCATGACTTTAATGGCTAGTATTTTCTGATTACCAATTTGTACAAAAAGAAAAAACGTAATTAAAATAGATATTTAGATTTAAATGAAACTTTCTAATATTTTTTGAAATATCCCTGGAAATGCTTCCTTGCATTTAGGATTATGAGAGAAACTGATTTTTCATATACTTCCCACTTTGAAATATCTAATTTTTTTATTCTATTTCCAGTTCATTTTGTTAGAGTGAAATGAGATGCTAAGACCAGATCTCCAGGCCTCGAGCTGTTTGGTGCCTGGCCGTAGCTATATTGTTCTAAATCAATTTAATTTGAATTGTGGTGGGGCTGCTACTTGCAAACCACTTTCTACTACTGTTGGTAACGCACAAGAGTTGCATTGCCTGTCAAAACAATCAAAGAAAATGCATATAACAAAATGAATGACTCTGAAAAGCAGAATGAAAATTCATTTCTAAAATCAAATGCCTCGCAGTCTTTTTTTTTTTTTTTTTTTTTTTTTTCTGAAGCTTAATTGTATAATAACTATAATGTATTAACTGGCTTGTAGATGCAAAAAGTAAAAACCACAAACAAGCAATGGCAAACTGGGTGAAACCCTGGTTCCACTGGAACCAATGGCGAAACTCCCACTGATTTCTGTGAAGCCAGGAGTTCACACAGTGTTTTTACACCTGCAGTTTTCTTCTGATCTTTGTCCCTTGTTTAATATAACAGACCTAATTTATGTGTATGTGAGTAAAACTACAGCCTGATTCATTTAGAAAGTGACCATTTGAGGGTTTTATTTTTTGTCATAAATTTCCTAGGACCAGCATTCCTGTCAAATGAAAAGTTTCTATATTGCTTTAGAATGTAATAGATTTTTGTCTTATTTTATGTCATGTAAATTATTAGTTCAATACTGTTAGCATTCCATAATAATGCACACATGATTTTTGAATGTTTTCTGTAAATGACAATCAATGTTGATGAAGTTCCTTTCTTTAATGCTGAAGAAAATTAAAAAAAAAAAAAAAAAAACCTGCATAAGAAAATAAAACCTGTTTTGTTTTTTTTTCCCCAATTCCCTTTAAATCAGCTGAATCTGTCAAGAAAAAGTATTGTGTATGCATTTTCAAAAGAGAGGAGTAAAAATAAAAGCCTAAACATAAGGAGTCTATATTCACTTTCATGATTTCTCTTAGCCTATTAGATTAAGTATTGCATGTTTCTCCACTGTTGCTCCAAAAGTGGCTCAGTTTTGCAATTTAAATTACAGCTGCAATTTTTGAATATGTAAATTGTTAGATTTCTTCATTTATTTCTCTATTATTTTAACGAAAGCCTCAGATAGTAGAAGACAAAAAAAAAAAGACTCAGAGACATTTGCATACTGCACAACAGTACAACAACAGGCTATCCTATTAAGAAAAAGGTACTGCATTTAGAAGAAATGACAAATACATTGATTATTTTTTGTTTGTGTATTTCTAATAGTAATTAATAATGAAAGATAAAACCAAGTGCTAGGTGAAGATAGTACCTTTCAAATATACAATCATCTTAATTTTAGGAGCCCAAATTCAAAGCAAGAGAAAATTCAGAAAGAATATCTAAGGCCTCATTTCGAAGTTGCTAAGCATAAACTTAAAGCCAGCTATGTATTTAAATGTTCTCAAATCACACTGTAAGCATGCAAGTTTAGGTGCTGAAACGCCATAAGTGCATCTTAGCATAATTAGGTTTTCAAGTCCTACAGATTTAAGACTTATCCAGAGATTTTGCATCCGATATAAATGTAATGATAAGTACATGCATGAGCATCTATGTTTCAGACTTCATGAAGATGAGCAGTTCACTATTCGCATGAAATAAATTGTTCCAAATACAGAATTCTATGATAAGTATGCTGTTGGTATTTGAACAAGCACTGCTACAGTATCATAGGTGATTATTTCATATTAACCTGTATATTTTTAAGTTAGAAAATCAGAAACAGTGTATTCTGAAACAGTACAAACAGATTTTGTGTAGTTTGTATTTCCTCTCTTTTGGTCTTTGATGTTTTAAGACTAGACTAACTTTCTTACCTGTCTAGGAAGAAAAGACATAGTAAAATACCTTCTCTTGAAAGGCAAGCAAGCTGTCATAGGCACTAATTGGCAAACAACAGTCAGCAGCACTGAGAGGAGACATAAAGAATGTTATTTTAAAACAGAGTTACAGGGCATGGTCCCCTATT